TTCTTTTCTTTATCACAACCAATAAATATCCATATTATTGTTTTTATTGTTCTACTTATTTAGTTATTCTTTTTTAAAATTATATTCAAACTTTCATTCTATATAATCTACAATTATTACAATAATAGCTTCCTAATTATTTTCACTATTTAATCTACCAGTATCTCTTGGAGATAATAATCTTTTTCTACTTCTTACTATTCCAGCTAATGCATCAATAACTTTATTATCCTCTGATATATTTAATTTATTTTTGTTATTGCAATTAAATTTAAATAGTTCATTTGCCATATCAATGTCCAACATTAATTATACTAAAGGTTTAATAAATGCTGCCAATAATAAAAATATCATTTAATATAAACCCCCAACTCTACTTAAAATTGCTTAAATTTTCACATATGATCTTTAATATTCACTATATTTTGAACTTAGATTTATATTATGATAAACTAAATATTCATTATTGTATAAGTCTGTTGATTCTCTTGCAACATCTTAAATCAACACTTATTAATCAGATATATCTGAAAATACTACTCCAGAATCTGTCTTTGTATCAACAACTTTAAATTACTAAAATATATTTTTAGATGTTGTTATTGAAAACGTATAATATTAGATATTAATTACATCTAAAGACATATTTACAGCTCTATTCATTTGTAATAATGAATCACTTAAATGAACTGCATAAAATCCAGAATTAAGTTATTTTTTAATATCTTCTATTGGAGCACAATCACTTTTATTAGTAGAGTTTTTACAAACTGAAACACTTATAGTCAAAGATGAATATATAGGACTTGTCTTTATTCCTTGTAATACCTAATAAATTAATAATAATTCTCATTACAGGTGGATGACTATCCCAATAATCTTTTTAGATACATTATACAGAACCTAATCTAATTCTAGAAAAGTAATCAATTTATGTTTCAGATAAAAAATGCTCTTAAGTACATGCTTCCAAAGGTATGTTTGTACAACTATTATTTATATATTTAATTTACTTTCTTGTAACATTAGAAGTCTATGATGTTTCATTATAAATTCTAGTAGTTTAACAATTTTTAAGTTAAATTGTAAAAAATTTATTTATTGTTGCTAAAGGTTAACTATTAAGATCAGCCAAGGTAATTGCAATAGTGAAATTATTTCTATTAAGATAGAATGGCTAAATATATCAGAGATGTACTGATGTTTCTATCACTTATCTTTCTGATTAAATCACATTTGGAGAATCTTTGGCTATTAATTCTTAAATCCCAACAACTAAATAAGCTAGAGCAAAAAATATAGTCCCTAATGTTGAAAATGCCCCTAAAATTGAATTATATTTTTATTTCCCTAAAATTCTAAATGTAGGGGGCTATCCAAACATATCAAACTGTAAAAAGAATTACCTAATATGAAAGAATAATGATTATTGCATCTTAATTTATAAATTTTTATTATAATATCATCAAAATCCTCAATTGTAATTATTAAGAAATTTAATTTATTACTTATTTTACTATATTCGGAAAAAAGTAATTAATCTTCTGTTTATATGATAAAGTTCATAAACTTAAATGATAATTATTTATAATTGACATTAAAATATATTTTGTTAAAATTATTATAATAATAGAATCAGTAACAATATATATGTTAGATAATTTATGTTACTAGTATGAATGAATAATAATATATTTAAATGATCCTGTAATAATTTATAAGTTAAAATAATTGAAGTTTTTATAATAAAAAATTAATGTCAATAGCAAATGCAAAAGGATAATAAGGTTAAAATGATATGACAACCTAAAGGAGAAAAAATGAAGCTAATTTGAGAGTGGCATTACAATATTATTCCTCTTGTGGAAAATTATAAGATGATCATTCTCTAGAATAAGTAACTCCAGGATTGGCTACTTTAGAATTCATGAAACGTAACTGTCCTGAAGGAACAAAGTTAGAAGATTTTTGTATACAATCTGGACAATATTTTGAATTTGAATAGTATAAATATGGTGACATCATTTTTCATTATGGGGATATAGGTGATAAGGTTTATGTAATTCTAAAAGGGGAAGTTGCTGTTTTAGTACCAAGATCTGAAAGTGAAGTAGAAGCAGAAAGAGAAGATATCAGTTAAGCTAAGCAACCTTTTGATTTTGAAATGTTTTGGAAAAATAAGAAACCTTTAAAATAAATTTATATAGAAGTGTTGTTAGCATAGTTGAACTCATAAGTTTATTTTAAAGATAATGTTTGTATGTTTAAGAAGGTTTTTTAATTTTATTCTGGATAATCATTTGGAGATGTTGCCTTAATTTCAGATAAACCAAGAACTGCAAGTATCTTAGTAACATCTGATCATATCTATTTAATTAGTATGTGTAAGAAAGATTTTAAGATTCTATGTGAGAAATCAGTACTGGAAATGAATTAAACTCTAGATTACTTTGTTAAATTATTTCCTAATATTGGGAGAATGTAAATTAACAAATTTATTTAATTTTTTCATAAAATAGACCTTCCTCCTTAATAGTGGTTATGGAGGGAAGGAGAACAAGTTAAATTTTTCTTATTGATTCTTAAAGGAAGAGTTGAAGTTAAATAATAATAATTACCTCTATATTAAGTGTCTGATAATTCTTTTATAGGTCATGAAGAGATCTTAGATAACATAACTTTTAGACAATACACATGCAAAACATTAGATAATACAACAGCATATTATATGGAATATGAAGATTTTAATAGTGCTAGGAAAACTTCTCCAGATATTGTTAAATTATTAATAGAAAAAGCAAAACTAATGACTTCATATCTTGAATAAAGAAAAGAGGAAGTTAAGAAAGGATAGATATATATTGAACCACTTTGTTTACCTGTAGAAAGAAGATTGGTTAAAGATATGTTTGTAATTAAATCTCCTAGAAAAAATGAAGTTAGATCTAATCAACCTAAATGTTTAAGTTATTTTGATATTACTAAATTTAATAAATAGAAAGCAAAACCAAATACTATTAATTTATAATAATCCATTTCAGAGGATTTATTTTTCTCTAAAGAGAAGAATATTAAAACAACAAGATCTCCATCTTATTTAACTTAAAAACTTTCGCCTATAAATAAATAAATGAAAGAGATTTTGATGAAGAAATTTAAGTTGAATTTTAAATTTAATGCTTTATAGTCTTTTTAAATTAGTTCTTGTAAATCAGTTCATGATTTTGGAAGTAAAAGTCGATTTAAAACAGAACCAAGCATTGATAATTGATATTAATCTATTAAATCTTTTTATATATTTCTATATAATATTTCAAATTAAGAAATCCATTCATATATCAATTCTATGGTTTTACAAATAAACCATTTTATCATTTGTTAATAACCATTAAATCATTTGATATTTTATATTCATATTATTTTCATTGTATTTAATAACAATCACTCTTCCCAATAAATTCTAATATAACCTTTGATAGGTCAGCTTAGATAATATATGCATTAAATCCAATTTCATAAATTAAAATATCTTTTTTATGTATAAATTTTGGTTTTTATAATCAACTGATTTATATTTGACTTTTAGTGTTTAAGTTTAGATATAATACAAGTCTGATTTAGAATCATATTAGAAAGAAATAATTTTAGAATAATAAGTGCAGCAATCACTTTTCTATATTAATATCAAGAACTAATTAACTATATGATGTCAAAATATTTAAATAGTTTTTCTGTAAAACATAATCTACATTTTAATTTATCTAATTTTCCATCAATATAATATTGTAATAGTTTACTTTAATTTAGTAATCACTTTATAAATTTTGAATCAGAAACAGAATTCTTAGATTATCAAAGTATTATTATTATGTATATAATAAAATATATAGTATTTTCAATTTTTTTTAGGAATTAGTTTTATTTTCTTCTGTTATTGTGCTTAAATTTATGAATTATGGGATAATTAAGTAAATTATAATTATTATTTTGTTTTGCAATTTATATGTAAACCCTTTAATCCTTTTTTCATAAGCAATAATTTAATTTTTTAATTTTGTTTAGCCAAAATGAATTGGTGTCTCTTTTTTTTTTGTCCATATTCGTACCATTTAGAGAAAGATATTCTTAGGGAATAGAAATTTTTAGATTTCTAATATTCTATAATAGATTAAAAAGAAATACCTTCTAGCCTTATTTTTTTTAGATATAAAATAGTTTAAAACTTATAAAAATATTTTCTTATAATGCAAAAGTTTCTAAAATGTTTAGATTTGAATGCCAAATGTTTTTAAAAATTAGAGAATAATTTAAATTTATTCCAATATTTTCTTAATCTAAAGAGTTCAGCTATTTTATTAGATTATTAATCATCCTCTTTTGTGATAGTTGAAATAACACTTTTTGAAGATTCTCTTCCTGGTGTATAAAACTTAATTTCATTTCTAGGAGTTTTTGATTAGACTGTCTTTTTACCTGCACTTTTACGACTTAAATCCTTTTTTGGTGGACTATATGGTAATTATAATTTATAGGGTTGAGGTTATTAACTTTAATTTTTCCAAGCTAAAAATATTTCCTTTAAATTCCTTTTATTTACTTTATTGGTAAACTTATATTGAGATTATTTGATACTTGTTCTAGGATCAAAAATTCTTTTTTCATTTATTCAATCATATTTATCATCAAGGGTTAATAGGCACTTGCAAGATTTCTCAAATAATAATTATTCAATTTTTCTAAACCTTTTCTTATCTTTTAAGGATCTGACTTTTTTTGCTGTTTAGTTTATTTTGGTTAATTAAAGTATGATGTTTTTATAATTGCTCTCATTAATATATTAATAATTTAAAATATAATGTTATATTTATTCACTACAGATTTCATATGATTCTTTGTCTTAGAGTTTTAATTCTATATAATATATTAGTAAATTGCTAATAATCTATTATTTATTTATATTAATATTAATAAATAATCTGATTAGCCATACTAATAGATAAATGATAAAAAATCCTAAAAGCGAAGGCGATTTTAGGCTTTAATAATATTCAGCCTCAAATAGTTGCACAACAATTCCAGATAGGATTAATTAACCAAATATTCAAGAATCAATTCCTGAAGAAAGTTATCCATAAGCTTAACCTTAAGAAATTACTTATACTTTTTATAATGTTAGACAAATACTGTAGAAAGAATTTGGTTTAAATATTGAATTACCTTATTAATAATTATTTACTTAATAGGAATTTGATCTATTGTTAGAAAAATATAAACCAAATTAGCCAATACAAAAAGTAGATGAAAATATTGGAAATTAAGATTAGTAATTAATGGATTTGTTTATGGATAGATTAAAAAAAAAGTTTTATTTTGATGCTTAAGATATTATAAATATTGAATTCTCAGATGATGATCCTATGAAGGTTTATATAGATATATTCAAATACTTAGCAAAACACAAAGATAAATAGTATAATAGAAGCAGTATAAATTGTGATTTTCGTTTATTAATTGAATAGAAAGAATAATCAAAAGAATAGAGCGAGAGTTTTTAAATGTGGCATAGAAAAATTTATAATAATAAATATAGAAGAAATTAATTGAAATAAAATGGATTTAATCCTGTTTATGATCATCATGAGAAATTAGTAGAACCTTAAGTTATTAATTAATAAAGGTCTTCAAATTATCTTAGAAATGTGGCTATTTTGATATGTACTTTTTCTTTCACAAAAATAACTGATCTTGCAAAATTAGATCCAGATATTGTTCCTATATTAAGAGTTGCTATCAATATTTAATCTGATATTATTAAAGATAGATCTGATTGTAATAATTTTTACTCTAGTGATAATAACTTAAGTTAAATTAATTAAATTAGTTCCTAAAATTATGAAAAGTAATAATATTAATTATATTATTATAGAATTAATAAACCTGGTAATTTTGCTAAGAGTTATACAAGTCAAATTTCAAATATTTTAGAAACACCTTTGAGATAAGCATTTTATAAATAAAATTTCTAATAAATTTAATAAATGTGCAAAGATATTAAACATGATAATCCTTATATGTAACTTATATTAAACTTTTTTGGAATGGATGATAAACAATTTTAGGTATATTATGTAATTAAAATTTAGGATTATTTATTAAAAGATGATAATAGACTTCATTTTGAGGATCGAATAGTATTAACTTTATTATATTGTGATGATAATAGATTAAATGAATTTTTCTAAAAGAAAAAACCACTTGATTAAATGATTAATTATGGTGCTCTTGATAAAAAATCTGTTGAGTGTTTAAAATTGTATTTAGAAGAAACTAAAGATATTTAATTAGTTGGTATATTATCAGCTCATCTATATTTACTTGAGAATAAAGATATTTAATTATTGACTTGGTTTTAAGAATATCGAAATTTCTTGAATTCTAAATAACTTTATAAAGAGAGAATGATTATAGAAAATCAAATTAAAGAATTCTAAAATAAGAACTCACAAATTGAAGATTTGCTATTGAGCAAATAATAATAAATAGTTTAATATTGTTAATGTAATTCTATAGCAAATCCTGAATGTTTATCATGTTTAACATTATATCCAAAATGTTCAATCTGTTATAATCCTATATAAAATTAATTCTATGTTGTTTGTTTAATATGTAGACACGGAGGACATGAAAAACATATATAAGAATGGTTCAATATTTATGATTAATGTCCATATAAAAAATGTTAATGTTATTGCAAATATGAATGATTCTTATAAAATTCTATATTATTAAAAAAATGTATTAAATTTTTAATAAATTCTATTTATGAATTCAAATATCTTTATAGTATTTAAAATGGCTTAATAATCAACATTAAAATCATTGATGTATATTTATATATTGCAATAAAAATAATAAATAGTTCAAAAAGATAATTTATTTGAGAATTCATTAAACTATATTATTAACATAATCTCATATTATTATAATTGTATTAAAATATAAAAAGAAGCTTTGTTACTTCTTTCTTTTAATTAAATTTTTATAAAATAAACTGTTTTAGATTTAATAAATATCCATAATAAATCAAAGTTCCTCAGAATTTTTTATTAAATCTATAATTTATTTAAATTCGCTATTAGGATTTTCAAGCAATTTTTATGGATGATCAAATTCTGTTATTTTTCCATCATTTAAAACCATAATTTTATCTGAATTCATAATTGTAGTCACTTTATGTGCAATTGATATCATTGCAGCATTCTAAAAATATTTTTCAAATAACTAAATATTAATAAAAGTTTAAATACATTTTTAACATGTTCTTCAATTTAAGAATCAATATTAGATGTAGCTTCATCTACTAAAACAATATTTTTATTTTCTAAAATACATCTTACAATATTTAACAATTATTTTTCTCCTTATGATAAATTACTACCTGATAAAGCTATTTCACTTTGTAATCCTTATTAATTAAAGCTTTGCATTTCTAATAAACCACATTATTTTGCAACTTCTAAAATATGAGATTCTTCAAATTTATTTAAAGGATCCAAATTTTATTTTAATGTTCCCATAAAAATAAGAGGATCTTAAGGTATAATTGCAAACTTTTATCTTAATTCACTTATTGAATAAAAATTCATATTTTTATTCTCTATCTTTATTGAACCTTCTGTTTATTCAAGAATTTAAGTTAAAGCTAATATAATTGAACTTTTGCCAGCTCCAGTTCTTCCTACTACTCCAATCTATAATTTTTAATTAATTAGATACTTTTTCTTTTTTGTGTAATTATAATGATAATTCTGATAAAACACATTTAGAATTTGGTCTATATTAGAATGAACAATTATCAAGTTGTAAAATTATATTATCTTCTTTATCCTAATTAACATCACTATTATCAGTATCATTTGTATTAGGTGTTATCAAAGAAATAGTTCTTTCTTCTTATTCAATTTTACTTAATAATAAATATAAAATTTACTTTGCTAAATGCAAACATCTTTCAAAACTTATAAGATACATTTAAATATTTCCATAAGATATTGTAGAGTTTAAAAGCAATTATGAAGCTGCTTACATTTAATTTAATACTAGTATTGTTAATTGTTAAGTTGTTCCTGGAAATATAAACTATGAATAAAATAAATAGAATACACAAATTATAAATAACATTGCCTAAAATAGATTTGTAATTGATCCTGCTAATGATTAATACCAATATTAAAAACCATATAGATTAATTTAATTACCAAGATCTACATCAACATTTCTTTATTATTAAACAACTACTTTTTCTAGTGGTAAACATGTTCTAACATATGTTATTCCTCTAACAATTTGTTAAAAAAAAGAGAAAACAGGACTCTTTGATACTGCTTCAATTCTAGTAATTTCTCTTAAACATCTATAATATATTATTGTTAGATAAATTAGAATAATAAAAAAGATGATTATTAATGGTAATGCAATAGGATTTAAATACAAAAAACCAGCAAATAATGGAAGTAATAGACTTGTTACTTAAATAACTAAATTTTGTATTTCATTTGGGAACAATAAATCTATATTGTAAATATCTTTGCTTAATCTATTCATTAATCTTCCTATAAGAATTGTATTGTAAAATTTTGTATATGAGGCATTCAATAAACTAAAAATAATTGAATTATGAATTTTCTTTGAAGTTGATAAACCCATTATTAAATAATATGTATTTAACAATACTATTGCTATAATAATAGGTGATTAAATCAAAGGGAAATAAATCATAGCTAAAGTTCTATATTCATCATTTGATAAATCTTATTGGGCCATAACTTAATTACCAAATAATTAACAACCCAAAACAATTCCAAAATAAAGTATATTACAAAATATTGCTATATATTTACCCATATATGCAAAGACTTATCTTAGAACAGATTTCGATATATCCCCTTTTTCTTAATCTTCTAATTGAATCAAACTTGATTTAACATCTAAATTATCTGGATCCTCATTTTTATAATGTTTTTATTCAAATTAAATATCAATTATTTCTTTTTAAGAATATTATTAATCATCATTTAAACCAGCAATTTAATGAAATTTACCTTATTTTATAATTTTTCCATTTTCAATCATATAGATCATATCACATTCTTATAAATTAGATAAAGAATTAGTAAATAAGATTCTAGTTTTATTCTTAAGATATCCTTATATACATTATTAATGTATCTAATATTTAACTTTAATATCTAAAGCACTTGTAGGATCATCTAATAAATATATATCTGCATCATTATATATAGCTCTAGCTAAATTGATTCTTTTTTATTATCCACCTGATAAATTATCACCTTTTTCTCCTAAAATAGTATCATCTCCATTTTTAAATGAAGCAATATCTCTTTCTAATCCACATATTTTAATAACTTATTTATATTTAAGAGCATCAAATTAATTCATAAAAGTAATATTTTTTTTAATACTACCACTTATAATCCAAGGATCTTAAGTAGCTACACTAATTGTTCCATTTACTAAAATATTTCCTTATTTTTTATAAGTTTCTCCTAAAATAGATCTTAATATTGTTGATTTTCCAGAAGCAGAACTAAATTTATTAATAAATTAAAATACTTTCCAACAAAAGCAATAAATTGTCCTTTTTTAATTTCTAAATCTATATTTATTTGAAAAACATTCTAATCTCCTATTTCTTAATTTTCATCATTTATTTCTATTACATCTTCATTCATTTAATCATTAGATTTCCAACTATAAATACCATTATTTATTTTTATTGCATAATTTATTATTTCATTAAATCTTTCTATCATATTGCATTCCTATTATAAAAAATAATTATCAATTCTAGCCATAGAATTTCTTGAAATTTAAAAGTTTTTATATTGATTAGGTAAGACTGTTAAAATATTAAGTATACTATTATAATTTTACATCATTATGCTCATTGTTCCAAAATTAACTTCATTTGAAAAATAAAAAATGCATTCCCATGTTAATATTTATACTATTCCATAAATGAGTTAAATAAAAATCATCATTAAAACTTAATTTCTTAATTATTTAAGTTCCTTCTCTCTATATTTTTTTATCTATTAAATATTATATTAAATAATTACTCTTTCTTCAAAAAAGTCTTCAAAAGAATTCAATTTAACTTGTTTTGCATACATTAATGCTTCATCAACAGCTTTCATTCTATTATCCTTAGCAACCATATATCTCTTTTAAACAATTCCATACAAATATCCAAATATCAATCCAATTATGGCTTATATTATTGCTCCTATTGCTGGAACAATTGCTTAATTTCCTAAAGTGATAAATATTACTATAAAAGCACTTATTAATTATAATGGAACCGTAAAAATAACTATTGCATTATAAAAATAATTTGAAGCCTAATTTATATCCACTTACATCATGTTAATTAGTTCCCCTGTAGAGTAATGTTAAGAACGAGATATTGGAAATTTTAATGTTTTTATTAGTATTTCTTATTATAATGCTCCTTATTATTTAATACTCAATAAGGAAGAATAAAATAATTAATATGGCTTTATTAAAGAAAGTGCTATCATATAAATAAGTTGTATAGCTGTAAATAATAACATGCTTGAAAATGAAGGTTTATCATCTGGTTCATCATATATAAAATATTTTTAAGATTCTTAAGTTATTATTGGCATACATAAAGTTAACCCAGAAACAGCTAAATATAATACTCCACAAAATAAGATTAAACCTTTAATTAAGATATTAATGTACATTTATAGGAACAGTATAAAGAATTTATAAATTTCTTTATTTTGAAAAAGGCATAAAATCTTTAATGTGATGTTGACATATTCGATGCTTAATCAACGATCACTAAGTCTCCTTAAACCAAAGGTTTATTCTTTCCAATCTATTAAAAATTTCTTAAGAATTTATTTTACAGCTAATAATCGATATATCCATGTAAAGAAGAAAACTTTAGCACAATTTTTTGAACTGAATTCAACTTATGTTTAGGTTTCTAGTAATGATGTTTAATCCTTTGGGTCAATGATTTTTGCCATAAAATATAATGAATAATGTAACATATATAGATTAATATAAACTCGAAAATATAGAATATAGATAAATTTTGTATATCACATAAATATATTGTAAATCATAATTATTCTTATAATTTATATTAATTAAATTTAAATTCAGCATTCTATAAGACGAAAAGAAAAATGGTTTCTAAATTGCCATCAACAAGTTCAATAATTAATAATATTATTTAGAGGGGTTGCTATTAAAATATACATTTTTCTTTTTTTACTAATGAGTGGATGAACTCATGTATTCAATAAATATTCATAAAATCAAAGATCATTCAAAATCAATGAAAGAGAGATTGATATTATATAGAAAATTAACATTGAGTATTCAATTTAGTAATAACATTCTAATTCATTTATGTGTTTAGTAATTACTTAAGTTAAATTAAATAGGAAATTGATCAATCTTTTATACGATCGAATTTCCATCATAATTGTGATAATGAAGTATTAGATTTGAATGAAATTTAGTTATTGTTCAAGAAAATTTAGTATTTTTTAATTTGTTCGTTTGAAGTTTCTGATGGCATTTGATTTCAATATGAAAAGGATTAGATTCAACAAAACTTTAAAATAAACAATTTTCATTCAATAGCACTTTTATTTTACTTTTATTGCTTTGATAGAGATCATTAAGAAAATTATTAATTCTT